CCTCTCTTAAATCAATAAAAATATATATATTTTAAAAATTCAATATACTATTTGGACCACACCTCTGTTTCTGATATTCATTTTAATTTTAAGAAAGATAAAGAGGAAGCTAAATAAATTTGATCCTAGCTATCATTAAGCCTGAAAGGACCTCAGAGCTCACATATTCCAAGCACTCATGTTTCAGGTAAAGAACCGAAACTGAGAGAGGTAAAGAGACCAGGTCACATGGCTGGTCACTGACAGAGTGATTGGGGAGGGAGGGGGGCGCGGGGTGCAGGGAGCTCAAATCTGAGATCTCTAGGCTCCTTAGCCAGGGCCCCTAACCTTCCACCTTCCTTGAGGCTGGCACCTGGGCCACCTCAGCATTTGATTCTCCCAATTACAAGAAGGGATATGAACAAATAAACTGCCAAATAAGCATGGTCCTAATTTTACATAGATTTATATACTCAAGATGGCAGCCTCATCACCATATAGCAGGATTTCTTCCCTAGGCACTTTGGACACATAGGGTCACATAATTCACTAGTGCACTGTAGAATGTTCCCTAGCATTCCTGGCCTCTACCCAAAAGATGCCAATAGTGGCTCCCCATGGACCTGAAACCAAAATTTCTCCAGATATGCCAATGTCCTCTGAGGACAAAATTGCCCGTTGAGAACTCCCATATTGTCCTAGTTCCTGCACACCCATCAGCCACCAGGAAGCCGTTGGTCTTCAGATGCCGGAGCTCTGGGTGATGCAGATGCTTTCAGTATGCCACCTATGGATGGAGAGGGCGGGCCCCTGACTTCCTCTCAGAAAGACAGAGCAGTGACCCCATCCAGTCACAGAATGATCAGGACAGAGTACGTTTAGAAAAAGAGAGCAAAATGGTAAGGGTGAAATGAGGTGAAAATAATAAAAGGAGAAGTGGGAGGAAGAAGAACAGTAAGAAACAGCGGAAAGGGAAGTGGAAGGAAGAGAGAGGTCAGCAGACAGGGGTTTCAGAGTGCTTGCAGGACAGAGCAACCTGGCGGGCCCCTGACTTCCTCTCAGAAAGACAGAGCAGTGACCCCATCCAGTCACAGAATGATCAGGACAGAGTACGTTTAGAAAAAGAGAGCAAAATGGTAACGGTGAAATGAGGTGAAAATAATAAAAGGAGAAATGGGAGGAAGAACAGTAAAAAACAGCGGAAAGGGAAGTAGAAGGAAGAGAGAGGTCAGCAGACAGAGGGGTTTCAGAGTGCTTGCAGGACAGAGCAACCCGTTAAAAGAGAAAGGGGCATATTTCATCAGGCCTAATTTTCTAAAAAGGCAACTCAGTCTGAGAAAAAGGGCCAAGAACTTTCCAGCAATTCATTGTGAGGCTTTAGGAAAGGACCATTGTGGCCAGATGACGGGCCTCGGGGGAGTCCTATGTGAAGCGCTTTGTAAAGGCCCCGAATGCTTAAGACCGAAGCCCTTTAAGACAGCCTACCCTGGAGTTTCACCCACCTTACAGTTCCTGGTACACAATGAAGCTGAATGACGCTTTCGTTTTATAATAACAAGCCTTTAAAACACCGAGGGTGACTCTTCACAACCAAAGTACAAATCAATTTCTTTAACTACTACTTCCCAGAAACCTATTGAATCTTGAACACCCCCTGGGAAACAGCAAGGCGCTGGGCATTGTACGGATTGTTGATCTTGGAGAGCTCCCACGGCTGGTTGAATGGAAGCTCTAGATCTGACTCAATTCCAAATGAGCGTGGATAGCAACACACTCATTTCTGACTCTGGTCAAGGTAACATTTGACAAGCTGACCGCTCAATTCTTACAGTACCTCTTCTTCTGTATATGCTTAAAAAGACACATCAGAGAAAGGTTCTTCTTAAAAAAATTACTATTGCAGTTCGTTTTCATGGATAAACAAAATGAATGACAACAAAAAACCCTCTAATCCTATGATTCTCAAACTTTAAAGTGCAGAGGATTCACTTGAGGATGTTGTTAAAATGCAGATTCTAATCTAGGTGGGGTGGGGCTAGAGATTCTGCATTGCTATCAAGCTCCCAGGCGGTGCTCATATGGCTGGTGGTCTGAGGACCACACTTTGAGTAAGAAGGCACTAAGTGTAATCCATTCTCCAAAATCTTCTATCTCATAGTATTTTCCTCCTGTACAAATCCTCTTATGACGAATTGAAGCTCTTCATGATATAACCCCAAGTTACCTTCAGCTCCACTAACTCCCTTCCCCTAACCCTATGTACTGTGAAGCAGCCACACCAATTAATTCTGTGTTGCTTCCTAAAATGTCATGCCCACTGCATGTCCCTGGCATGGCCTCACGGTTCCCTCTGCCTGGACGGCTCTATCACCAAAATCTTCACCCTCCCCTCTTAGGACCTAAGTCAAATGTCACCTCCAAGAAGCATTCCCCAAGCCCTCTAGGAATAAGGCATTCCACTCGCCACATCTTGCACTTGGCATTAAAATATCTACACTGGTGTGTCCTGTTTTCTGGAAAGTTATAGCCCATCCAAGAAAAGTATAAAACTACCTGGAGCCTAATTTGGGGGTTTAAAAGACAGTTTCTAACCTTCACATTCCTGGCTCCTGGGTTAATCCTCTGAGATAAAAATTCCATAGGATTTTTTGGCCCCCAAATGAGAATTCACTACCAGTGTTCCAGGCACTCTGAGATATATCCCACCTACTCGAGAGTATCACTGCGATAGTGGTAGCCCCCACCCCTGCATCGTGGATTTTTCCAGGTTGTCTCCAAGTTCATCAGCATAAACGATCTCCCATTATAAAAACAAAAGAAAACAAAACATATACACAATGAAAACACCCTCCCTTGCCCCTAGATGATTCTCCACCCCTTTATAACAAAACTCCAAAAAGTTGTCAAATTCACCATCCCCTTTCCCTCCCCTTCCATCCTCTCTTAAACCACATCTGTGCTAATCAAACAAAAGATCAAAGCATTGCAAAAGCAATAGTCAACTTCCCAGACTCCTCTCACTTGATCTATGGGCAGCGTCAGATGCAGCTGGTCACTCCTCACCCTGAAACCCTTCCTTTGCTTGTCTTCTGGAACCTAACATCTTTCTCCTCCTTCCCCCAGCTGTTCTGTTCCAGGCTCCTCTGCTGGACCCTCTCCTTTCCTAAGTCTAAACACTGAAGGGAACCAAGGCTCTGATTCAACATCGCCAGATCAGAAAGCGCATTCTGGTACCCTAGCTGAATCAAACACCTCATCAGGATCTCGCCCCCTAACCTAACTCATTTGCCCTTCTCTCTTCTCTACCTACCCTTCGTGCCCAGGAGGTCAAGTGCAGTCCCACAGCTTTAAATACCATGGAGAAACTAAGGATGCTCAAATTTATACTTCCAGTCCAGACTTTTCCCTGAAATCTAGACTTCGATGACCTCAAAATGAACATGTCTAAGATAAGTTACTGACACACACTCCCCACCAGTCCGTCCTGTCTGGTAAAGCTGATGTTCTGTGCTCTAGTTGCCCACACCACAACCCTGGAGGCGTCTTGCCTCCTCTTATCTCATAGGCCCCATCCTCTCCACCAGCACATCCTGTCAGCAACACCGTCAACACTGCAGAAGCTGAGTTCCTCGGCTATAACCTCAAGTCCACCTACCATCATCCTTTGCCTGGACCCTTAAAAGGCTCCTTGCTGGCATTCTTGCTCCCATCCCCACTGTCATGTCAGAGCCAGAGTAAACCTTTAAAAACCCAAATCAGGACACAGCACTAGTCTTCTCAAAACCTCTAAACACACATCTTCTTCAGCATAAAACTCAATGTCCTTCCTAAGGCCTTTGAGTCCCCACATGACCCGGGGCTCCTCCTACCTTACAAATCTTATCCCCTAGCAATTGCCCCTTCAACCACTCTGCTCCAGCCTCACTCCCCTCCCCACTGTTTCTTGAACAGTGTTCCTGCCTCATAGCTTTTTCCAGATTCTCTGCCTGGACAGTCACAAAGCCCTGCCTGCTCCACACTGAGGACTCTGATCCAACATCCCCAGACCAGAAAGCGCATGCCTGGTCCAGTGTGAGTCAGACTCCATCAGGATCTAGACCCCTTACCTCCTTCCTCCCTTTTAGCGTGGATTCTTTGTCTCTCTCTGCTAAAATATAAACTTCATAGAGCTGGGCCTTCCTTACTTTTGTTCAGGGCTGTATTCCTTAACACAGGGCCTGGCAAACAATAGGTGCTCAATATGTTTTTACAGGATGAATAAATGAATGTCATTAGAAAGTCAAAAAATAATGCCATGTGCTTATACATTATGGGGGAAAAAAGGCAATATTCCAAAGGAATTTTTAGAAAACCCTACTAAACCATATTCATTCAGACAGTAAGTCTTGACTAAGAGCCTGTAATGCAGAGAAAAGACACTCACTTCCGGATCACTGTCCTGGACTCCGGTGAATTCTGGCTCCCATCTTCTTCACAGTTTGGGCTTGTCAGGTTTCCATACCTTTATGGGTGCAAACAAACAAAACCCAGTCAATGGTGTTGGAAGCCACTCTACTCAATTTCAACCATGAAAGAACATTCTTTCAGGAATGATTCAGGAAAGAAATATTTATGAAATAGCACCAAAAATGATATTGGATTACTGATATTTACTTAATGGGTCTATTGGCCTATTCTAAATAAATAAGTGACAATGAATCACCCTACTTAAACCTTCTCTTAGTAGTTAACATTTCTTTGAATTTTTGAAAAATGAAATTAGGCTTTTCCTCTCAGCAGAATAATCAGATGCTACATGACCCTTTGTGAATCTTTTTTTGTTGTTATTAATTCTCACCTGAGAATATTTTTCCATTGATTTTTAGAGAATGGAATCTAAATAAATAAGTGACAATGAATCACCCTACTTAAACCTTCTCTTAGTAGTTAACATTTCTTTGAATTTTTGAAAAATGAAATTAGGCTTTTCCTCTCAGCAGAATAATCAGATGCTACATGACCCTTTGTGAATCTTTTTTTGTTGTTATTAATTCTCACCCGAGAATATTTTTCCATTGATTTTTAGAAAATGGAAGGGAGGGGGAGACACACATTGAGAGAGAAACATTGATGTGAGAAAGACACATCAATTGGTTGCCTCCTGCATGCACCCCAACCAGGGCCAGGGATCGAGCTTGTAACTGAGATATGTGCCCTTGACTGGAATCAAACCCTGGACCCTTCAGTCCGCAGGCTGACACTCTATCCACTGAGCCAAACTGGCTAGGGCCCTTCGTGAACTCTTGAGCACATGACTCGACACCCCCAGCCCTCTACTGCGTCCACCAGCCACGGCCCTGCTGACACAGCTTTCACACGTGCCACAAGTGAGCACAGACAACCCCACACTGACTGTGGTCTCTTCGAGGATAAGTCCTGTTCGAAAAGGATTATGGAAATAATTCTGGACCCTCAAGTGATGGCTGAGATAGAGACAAGGACCAAAGAGCAGAATTGTTATATCTCAGGAGAGCAGCTGTGGGTACATTGAGGCTGGGCCGACCTAGACACAGCAACTAGGGAAGGGGGCACTGGGGCACAATATTTTAGGAAGCAACAGGTGCTTAAATGTTAAAATTTGGCTCAGTACGTACTCAAAATTTACTAAATAACTGATCAGTCCCTGGTTAGCTATTCTTCCAAATCTGTACGTAAGCAAGTCTATTTCATACAAATAGATCATGTTTTATTTGGTTCAGAATGTACATGTAGTAAGTTTACTTTGAATTCTTCAGGCGTCTTTACATTCACTTATAATGCATAGACTATTTCTGTAGTTCATCTTCCCATCAATGACGAATTCAGAGATTCCTTGGAATTTCCCAAGCTGACAGTCTGTGCCAAAGTTTGGATGATAGAAATTCTATAACTGGTGGCTTTACATTTTTAAAGAGCACACTTTTATCTTCTACTAATGGGATTAAAGGCCCCACCACCCTTATGGTTCCTGGTTTCTAGGATTTAAAATCCTTTTAAAAATAAAAACCCACCATCTGGTTTGACCGAATGCCAGTCTGTTTGGTCGGTCTCCTTATCCCCCTATCCCGGTAGGTTCCAGTCTGTGCCCTTAGGCATTAACTGCCCCCTCCCATCCACCTGCTCCTTTTTCGAGCTCGTCAGCCTTATGGACTTCTTGGCCTCCCTGAAATATTTTCCACTGGCCTCCGCCCTCCCTGCTCCTCCTCATGCTGCCCTGCACCTGCTACTTAGAGGGCTTCCAGGGCTACCCTTTGCTTTTCCAGAGACAACAACGCAGTCAGATTAAGATTTACTCCACCCCATGTGAGCAATGCAGGGATAGATTCCTAGTAAATAAACAGAGTGGAATTTTTGGCTCTCTCCTTGGCCACCACCATAGTGAACTGGGTCCTCCTGTTCTCTCACAATAGGCTTTGGGGCTGACTTAAGTAGGAAGGTTGTGGGGCAGGGTGCAGGGTGCAGTGAGGCTCTGAGAGCTCTTCTTGCCCAGCCTCCATTACTTCTCTCCCTGGTTACTTTAGAAATATTGCATCTTTTCTCTTCCAATGGGGAGCCATGCGTGAGAGAAGTAAGAAGGAAAAACTCTTTCAAAGAAAAGACACACATTTTACTGCTTCTGTGATTTCCTCTTCAGAGCTGTTTGTGCTAACAGTTTCCTGATCTTCCTGTTCCTTCTTTACTTGAGCTTCTCCGGCTCTGCTGCTCTTTCTCTGCATTTTCCGGACTCAGAGCTGAGATGCTGGCTGGGATGACACCCACACCTACCACAGCTCCGCTCCCAGAGGGACGTGCCCCCGGTGCAGTCAGATGTGTGGAGAAGGACTAAGCAACCTTCCCTGGTGAGCAAAGCTCTCTCTCACGAATTAAGTGAGGACCATTTTCTCAGAATGTGGGCCGAGAACAGTGATGGCGAACCTTTTGAGCTCGGCGTGTCAGCATTTTGAAAAACCCTAACTTAACTCTGGTGCCGTGTCACCTATAGAAATTTTTTGATATTTGCAACCATAGTAAAACAAAGACTTATATTTTTGATATTTATTTTATATATCTAAATGCCATTTAACAAAGAAAAATCAACCAAAAAAATGAGTTCGCGTGTCAGAGGTGACATAGGTTCACCATCACTGGCCTAGAAGATGATATAGATAGCCCTCCCGGCCACCAGTGTGTCTGCAGATTCATAATCGGGACCAGATTGACTGTCATAATAACTTGGAGGCCAGTAAGAACCAGCAACAATAATGCACGTGTGGCAGAGGAGAAATAGCTCCCCGTAGTCTGGGTGCTCAGTCTGGGAGCTTGCAGACATTATTAACTCTTCTCTCCCCAATCCGCCAGGAAATCCTTTTGTCTCCGCCTGTATAACATGTCCTGAATCTAAACCCTTCTCATCACTTCCAGCCGGCTCAGCCTACCAGCATCTCTGCCCTAGAGCAAGGCAACAGCCACCTAACTAGTCTCCTGGCTTCTGAGCGGCAGCCACGTGATCCCAGTCAGTGTAAACTAGATCATTTCGGCTCCCATCTCGCTCTGAGAAAAGGCCAGCGTCTTACCTGTCCCACCAGGCCCTAAACTTCCTGCTCCTGATCGTCTGTGACCATGTCTCCTGCACTCACTCTTCCTCAGCCTCACTGGCCTCCTGGCTGCTCTGCCCACCACGGGCATCCTCCAGCCTCAGAACCTTGCACTCCCCACTGCCTCGTCCCACACCTCTGCCAACGGCACACTCCCTCAGCTCCTTCAGATCTCTCCTCAAATGTCACTTCATCAGGGAGGCCCTTCCCTGACCACCCTGTTGAAAACACAAACCAACTCGAACACCACCACCTTTAACACCTGCTAACATGTGTGATAATTTACTCTTTGGGTTCATCATCCATTACAACATGACTCCACGAGAGCAGGATTTTTGTCTCTTCTGCTCACTACTCTTTAGAACTTAAAACAGGCATTCATGCCCTAGCCTATTTGGCTCAGTGGATAGAGCATGTCGGCCTGGGGACTGAAGGGTCCCAGGCATGTACCTAGGTTGCAGACTCGATCCCTGGCCCTGGTCGGGGTACATGTGGGAGGCAACTAATCAATGTGTCTCTCTTGCGTACATGTTTCTCTCTCTGTCTCTCCCCCTCCCTTCCATTCTCTCTAAAAATCAATGGAAAAATATTCTTGGGTGAGGATTAAAAAAAAACACACAGGCACCCAGCAGGCCTGGTGATGGCTATTTGTTGGGAGCAAATGAGTGGTTCCATGGGGTTCCCTAAGCAGACATGACAATGGACCTTCTAGCTACTAGGTTCTGCAAGGACACCATCTGCTTACACAAGTGTCTTAGCCTATCTGTGCCTTCATTTCTAACAGTTTAGGAGCATAAAAAAGCTTTAGGATAGCTGTAACTCTTCCAAAAAATATAAAATTAAAATACAAAAGAAATAAAGTTTTAAGCCCTGACTGGTTTGGCCCAGTGGATAGGGCGTCGGCTTGCGGACTGAAAGGTCCCAGGTTCGATTCCGGTCAAGGGCATGTACCTTGGTTTCGGGCATATCCCCAGTAGGGGGTGTGCAGGAGGCAGCTGATCGATGTTTCTCTCTCATCGATGTTTCTAACTCTCTATCCCTCTCCCTTCCTCTCTGTAAAAAAATCAATAAAATATATTAAAAAAAAGAAAGAAAGTTTTAAGATCTTTAAGTTGAGTTCATGAAGGTGTAAGCAATATAAAAATGCAAAAAAACAAACAAACAAACACAGAGCAATATATATATACAATTTTACAAAAGAGACCTTTAGAAGTAAAATAAAATTAAAGTGCCTGGGACTTAATGGACTGGGGATTATTTGCCCCTGAACTTTCCTTATCATTAAGGAGAATTAATGCTTTACAGTAAAGAAGCTAGACCAGCTTTAGAATCAAGAACTCTTTAGGGTATTTGAGAGTCAGTTTTACTAGATTAAGGGCATTCCTTTGATGTTTCCTGGACCCTCTCACAGCTTCCCAGCAAAAACCAAAGTCAAGTTCAATGCATTGACTCCAGGGGAGTAAATAAAGGGCGTGTAGATGCGTGTGTTTAATTAATGGCAGTAGAATAGCTACAGACAAACCGCCAACAATGTCACCTCCAATTTCTGCAAAGCCTCCCCAGGATCTGAGATCAAAGCTCCAACCTCTTAAGAAGGCTTACCAACGAGAAACTGCCCTTTTTTAAATGGTAACTCATAAAACAAATTAAAACACAAATGGTCAGAATGACTTTTGACATGGTTTTCTCTGTATCACAAGGCGAAAGATAGATTTACAAATATCTCCTAAAGTACAGCCTTCAGCAATTATTACTGCAGCCTAAAAATTACTAGAAAAAGAAAAAGCCAACATAATGTTTAACTGATTGCTAATATTTAAACAGGAAACAGTTCTTTTCCAGAGGGGATGGATGTATTGTTTAGAGCCCATCTGGGCGGATAAAATGTTTAATATGTGTTTGGAGGGAG